CATTCTTCTTCTATGTGCCGTGTCCCTTCAAGACTTTAGCGAACATGGCTCTCCACAATTTCCAGTCCTTTGTCGCGCTTAATTATCGTCGTTTTGCTTTCTCTCCTAAACCTTGTTCCGTCATTCATTTACTCGAGCTCATTCACCTTCTGCGTGCCGTGTCCCTTCAAGACGTTAGCGATCATGGCTCTCCACAATTTCCATTCCTTTGTGGCGCTTAATTATCGTCGTTTTGCTTTCTCTCCTAAACCTTGTTCCGCCATTCATTTACTCGAGCTCATTCACCTTCTGTGTGCCGTGTCCCTTCAAGACGTTAGCGATCATGGCTCTCCACAATTTCCATTCGTTTGTGGCGCTTAATTATCGTCGTTTTCCTTTCTCTCCTAAACCTTGTTCCGTCATTCATTTACTCGAGCTCATTCACCTTCTGTGTGCCGTGTCCCTTCAAGACGTTAGCGATCATGGCTCTCCACAATTTCCATTCGTTTGTGGCGCTTAATTATCGTCGTTTTGCTTTCTCTCCTAAAACTTATTCCTCCATTCATTTGCTCGAGCTCATTCACTTTCTGTGTGCCGTGTCCCTTCAAGAAGTTAGCGATCATTGCTCTCCACAATTTCCAATCGTTTGTAGCGCTTAATTATCGTCGTTTTGCTTTCTCTCCTAAACCTTGTTCCGTCATTCATTTACTCGAGCTCATTTTCTTCTGTGTGCGGTGTCACTTCAAGACGTTAGCGATCATGGCTCTCCACAATTTCCAGTCCTTTGTAGCGCTTAATTATCGTCGTTTTCCTTTCTCTCCTAAACCTTGTTCCGCCATTCATTTACTCGAGCTCATTCTTCTTCTATGTGCCGTGTCCCTTCAAGACGTTAGCGATCATGGCTCTCCACAATTTCCAGTCCTTTGTGGCGCTTAATTATCGTCGTTTTGCTTTCTCTCCTAAACCTTGTTCCGTCATTCATTTACTCGAGCTTATTCTTCTTGTATGTGACGTGTCCTTCAAGACGTTAGCGATCATGGCTCTCCACAATTTCCATTCCTTTGTGGCGCTTAATTATCGTCGTTTTGCTTTCTCTCTAAACCTTGTTCCGTCATTCATTTACTCTAGCTCATTTTTCTTCTATGTGCCTTGTCCCTTCAAGACTTTAGTGATCATGGCTCTCCACAATTTTCCATTCCTTTCCTAGCGCTTAATTATCGTCGTTTTTCTTTCTCTCCTAAACCTTGTTCCGTCATTCATTTACTCGAGCTCATTCTTCTTCTATATGCCGTGTCCCTTCAAGACGTTAGTGATCATGGCTCTCCACAATTTCCAGTCCTTTGTAGCGCTTAATTATCGTCGTTTTGCTTTCTCTCTTAAACGTTGTTCCGCCATTCATTTACTCGAACTCATTCTTCTTTTATGTGCCATGTCCCTTCAAGGCGTTAGCGATCATGTCTCCCACAATTTCCAGTCATTTGTAGCGCTTAATTATCATCGTTTTGCTTTCTCCCTTAAACCTTGTTCCGCCATTCATTTACTCGAGATCATTCTTCTTCTATGTGCCGTGTCCCTTCAAGTCTTTAGCCATCATGGCTCTCCACAAATTCCTGTAGCTCTTAATAAATTTTGTCTTTTTGTTATCATTCCTAATCCTTGTTTCTCTATCCATTTATTCAGTCTCTTTTTTTTCTTCTATGTGTCAATTTCATGTCCTTTTTTGCTCCTAATATTTTTTCTCTTTCTTTTTTTATCTATCCTAAAATCTTGTATTACCATCTTATGTTCGGAAGGAAGGTTATGCGTTGTTTTCTTCTGTTCCTCTTGCCTTCAATCTGTTCTGTGTGTATGAAAATATCCAAGCCGTCTTTCCTCATTCTGTACCATATAATTATTCACTGTCTCTTCCTGATGTCCTGATGTGCCCATTTTGTTTGTCGTTGCTCTCATATTCACTTCATGACTCGCGATATTCTGAGCATCCTCCTGTAGAACTACGTTTGTGTTGGTTTATTTGTGGTGTAATTGTTCAACTATTTACATTATTTGGACTATTGTCCTTATCTTTGTCGTCATATTTATTACAACGTTTCGGCCTTTCAGTATCTATCTATATTTCTGAGATGACGTATTATATACACTATTTACATTATTCGGACTATTGTCCTGATCTTTGTTGCCATATTTATTACAACGTTTCGACCGTGCAGTATTTGTCTATATTTCTGAGATGAGGTATTATGTTCACTATTTACATTATTCGGACTATTTTCCTCATCTTTGTCACCATATTTATTACGTTTCGGACGTTTTACGCTCCGGCCTTCCGGAGGTGGTTGGAATGTCGAACTGAACCCTTTATTTCGCTCACTGAACCCTTTATTTTCGCTGCCTGATAAGCGACAACAAATCATTGCAAATAACTAATTGTACTTTTCTTCTTTGAATCCCTTTGAGCGTAGCGTTCCTGAACAATTTTAACCCTTTTGCCTGAGTCAAAATTAACAAATAATTGTTATGTAACGTTTCACGGTAGATATAAAAATAGTTACAAGGTTTGCCCACCGTTCAACCGGTGGCTGGGCATTGTGTCATTTCTCTCTACCACCGTTCAACGGGTGTCTAAGCATTACGTCATTTTTCTCTGCCACTGTTCAACCGGTGGCTTGGCATTACGTCATTTTTTTTTACCACCATTCAACCGGTGGCTTTGCATTAAGTCATTTTTCTCTACCACCGTTCAACTGGTGACTGGGCATTAAATAATTTTTATCTACCACCGTTCAACAGGTGTCTGGCCATGAAGTAATTTTTCTCTACCACCGTTCAACCTATGGTTGGGCATTAAGTCATTTTTCATTACCACCGTTCAACCGGCAATTGGACATTACGTCATTTTTCTCTACCCCCGTTCAACCGGTGGCTGGCATTAGGTCATTTTAACACCGTTCAACCGGTAACTTGGCTTTAAGTAATTTTCTCTACCACCGTTCAACAGGTGTTTGGGCGTTAATTAATTTTTTTCTACCACTGTTCAACAGGTGTCAACATTTTCTCTATTACCGTTTAACCGGTGTCTAGGCATTAAGCATTAAGTAATTTTCTATACCACCGTTCAACCGGTATTAGGCATTACGTCATTTTCTCTACCACCGTTCAACCGATGGGTGATCATTAACTAATTTTTCTCTATCACTGTTCAAGCCGTAAGTGGGCATTAAGTATTTTTTCTCTACCACCGTTCAACCGGCAACTGAGCATTACGTCTTTTTTCTCTACCACCGGTAAAGCGGTCAGGGCTGAAAGTGTTAAGAGTAAAGTTGGTAATCAAAAACGGAAATTATTTATGACGACTTTCGGTATTTTATCACAAAACTCCGCGACAAAAAACTACACTAGCCGAATGTAAATTTGTAACACCCGAATAAGTTATAATTTACTCGAAATTAAACTCAATAATAAAACTGGTTTACAGTGAATTATCATATCTACAAACCAATGTGTAGATTCAAAAAAATAATGCACTGTATAAATTAATCCAACGAGCAGTACTTGCAGCAAAGCCTTTATATGATAATAACCCTGGTTTTTGACCGGGTTTTTGCAGATACGGTTTCATTGCAAGTACGTGCCATATCATACTACCGGGCATTGTTGGTTCTCCGTCACATTGCGTCGAAACTGAATGGATGTCTAAAACCCGAACTAATCGTTCAGGAATGTTCATTTTGACACCATTTTCTAGATTCGGTGCAAACTGACGCGAAACGTCCATTAAACGTAGCAATTCTCCGAAACAGCTATCCAAACTCTCCAATGCAAGATTCTGTTCAGTGGTATAATCAAAGCAAAAGAAAGACTATGTAGTATTCTACAGATAGGATTATCTCAAAATCAGACATAAAAAAGAGACACTCGTCTCCTGTAGGATTAACTACCGTAAGTAGAAAACAAAGGATGTAAAGAGCGAGAAATAAACACGAGGTTAATCAACCTCCTTTTATGACGCAAACAGCAGAGTGAGAGAAGAAAACAGGTGTTATTACATGACAGGCGATTCTCTTGGCAGTAAAACCATTTTTTTTTTTTTTTTTCAAAATGCTCAGGCCTCACTGACCATCGGAAAATCGACAACAGGTGTGAAAATCTCCCATGAATCATTGTTCACAAAGCTTACGCCGATGTGAAAATCTCCCATGAATCACTGTTCACAAAGCTACGCCGATGTATTTCTATACACACGCAAACGGATCATTGATTAATGTGGAAAAAGACGTGGAAAAGATAAATAAAGAGAAATAATAATTAAAATAAAAGTTGAGCAGCAATACTAGATTAAGCTGTTCCTGAAAAGACGAACTGTGGCGATTTGAACCGAGTTCACATCGATTTTTCCTGGCTGCGTTCTCGTCAATATGCAAATAATCTAGTCCGCTCTCCCGGAAGTTACAGACGATACCTGATGTCTCTTCAAAACCGAATCGACGGAAATGGGCCTCCCACACATAATCGATATACGCACCGGAAGGTCTCGTCTTCCCAGCGGGACGTCGTTCGGGTCTCTTCTCTGATGATTTGTCAGTTGTCTGTAAACGCTGAAGCCAGTTTCAAGTTGCAACCAAATGCTTCCGGCATTGATCACAAAATGATTGCATTCCACTCCATGAATTGACAAGGTGCATTAAATATGAAATAGAAGATTAACACTAGAACGGCCAAATATCAGAACGTACATTTTTTGACGTCATTTTTTTCAGTGAAACGCTATAAAGAACGGACAATGACCAGAACCAAACGATTCATATTTTAGGTATATATTGTAGCCTTTCTTAGGGGCCAGATATAAAGACACAAGGAGAGGAATTGATATAAATATAAATATATTAACAGAAACAGTAATATAAACATATACAAACGAGAGTGTTACAACAAGTATGTTCGGTCCGACTGTCAGAGCTGACTGTTGGAAACTTCCTTCTCTAAAAGGCAGTACCTGCTCCTATTTATAGCTGGGAGAGTCCATGCATGCGAGGGTAAATTACCATAACATTCTTCTTTTTTTTCTTTTTCTTCCTCCTTCTCCTGCTTCTCTTTCTTCTTCTTCTTCTTCTTCTTCTTCTTCTTCTTCTTCTTCTTCTTCTTCTTCTTCTTCATCATTCTCCTCCTTCTTTGTTGTGGCCTTGTTAGGCCCAGAAATAAAGACACATGGAGAGAAACTGAGTTAAACAAATATATTAACAGAAACAGTAATATAAACATAAACAAACGAGAGTGTTACAGCAAGAATGTTCAGTCCGACTGTCAGAGCTGACTGCTGGAAAATTCACCCTACTGGAAGGCAGTACCTGCTCCTATTTATAGCTGGGAGAGTCCATGCATGCGTGGGTAAATTACCATAACAGTATATATCCAGAAAAAATATTATAATGTAGTCCCTCACATAAACACTCTCGATTGTTTAATAGCGGAATATCAAATATTGATATATTTAACATTAGAAAGGATGGAGACTTACCATTTGTTGGCGTTATACCTTCGGAGAATTGCTTTAAGGTGGCTGAACAGACGATGTAATTTTCAGTATCCAAAATGTCCAATAAATTATGATGAGAAAAGAGACGATTTTAGTCTTGACATTTGATAAATTCTATTTTAGATGTAGTACTCTCGTATCTATTTTGGTGTACTGCTTTTAGCATAATACATCACTAAAATTGGGCATTTTATATTCAAATGTCAATGGATACTCGACAAATTTCTGCTGTATAGCTACAAATAGGAATGTTTTGAACAATTTTAATACAATCTAGCATATAGGGCGTTTAATTGTTGCTTTCTCCGTCCAATTTCTATTGAAAACTTTTTGAAAAATGGGGACGTATCTAAAAGAAATTAAGCGTGCGAAATCTAAGTTCTTGAGTGTACAACCGCAATTATGTCTAATGTACTCAGTTCAATATTCACTAAAATAAGCCGTAACGTTATTTTCACTGTTCTGATAAAATAAGTCATATTTTGAAAATATACACCCATAAATGTATTGAGCTGCGAAAGATAAGCTACATTTAAAGAAAAAAAGGAAAATCAAAGTATCTCAATGCGTTGAAACAAGTGTATTACCAGATTTATGACCATTCATGATTTGTGCCTATCAAGATGGATTCAAGTAGATGTGTATTATATTATATCATTTGCTATTGTAGCTCTTCTTCTCTCCTATTAGATTGTAGCAGATGAAGTCTTGAATTCATGACCATTCATGATTTGATGTTAATTAGCTTTAATGAAGTAGGTTCAAATCATTCCGATGGAATAAAGTAGGTTCAAATCATTCAGATGGAATAAACTAGGTCCAAATCATTCAGATAGAATGAAGTAGGTTCAAATCATTCAGATGAAATGAAGTAGGTTCAAATCATTCAGCTGGAATAATGTAGGTTCAAATCATTCCGATGGAATGAAGTATGTTCAAATCATTCAGATAGAATGAAGTAGGTTCAAATCATTCAGATGGAATGAAGTAGGTTCAAGTCATTCAGATTGAATAAAGTAAGTTCAAATCATTCGGATGGAATGAAGTAGGTTCAAATCATTTAGATGGAATAAAGTAGATTCAAATCATTCAGATGGAATAAACTAGGTTCAAATCATTCAGATGGAATAAACTAGGTTCAAATCATTCAGATAGAATGAAGTAGGTTCAAATCATTCAGATGGAATGAAGTAGGTTCAAATCATTCAGATGGAATGAAGTATGTTCAAATCATTCAGATGGGGTGAAGTATCTTCAAATCATTCGGATGGAATGAAGTATGTTCAAATCATTCAGATGGAATGAAGTAGGTTCAAATCATTTAGATGGAATAAAGTAGGTTCAAATCATTCAGATGGGGTGAAGTAGGTTCAAATCATTCAGATAGAATGAAGTAGGTTCAAGTCATATTGTATCATTTATATCTTGTCATTTACATCAGGAAAGTTTCAGAAGGGAATATTATTTCCATATAACCTTCCCGAAACTATAATCGGTTTGCTTTTAAACAATTGTCTTTACTACCTTTCTCAACATAGAAAAATGTTTATTTTTTCCTAGAGTGACAATGATCAATATGTTTAAAGACATGGTTAACCTCAAAGGAATTTATTACGCATCATTTCTTCAGAAGATTTCAGTGGATTCAAATGAAATTTGTCTTTTACAATCTTATAATGTGTTGTAGTAATCCACCTACAGTAGAATGAACTCTTTCTCCTTTCATAAATACTAACGTGTGGCTGGGGAGCCGAGATGCAGTGTTAACCTACAGTTCGAACGTAGACTTCTATCTTCTTATTACTAACCCTCTTTCTTATTTCAATCCACTTGTTCAACCTACCTTCGTCTTCCGTGTCTTTCTTTTCTGGTCCCTAAACAGGCGAAAGCATAATGCCCACAGCTTCGATGCGCAAGCAGCTCTTTTGAAAGCTGTACTGGGATAGGAAATTCCTTTATCTGCGTAAAGAAATGTTGCTGCATGCAAATATCTATCTTCGTCTTGCAAATGCAAATGTAAGAAATGATCTTGAATCTGTAATCGGAAGTTCTTCAACATGCAATGTCCTCTCCACGTCTGTTACATTCGAACTAAATTTGCTCTCTGCAACATTCCATTTATGATTAATGGTTCTAACAAATTCAGGATATCAAAAGATTCTTCGTGACATCAAGTCAAAACCGAAATTTTTCTTTCATGGTGGAATACACATTATAGTCTAAAAATGGCGCAAGGTTATAGAAAGCCAAAGAAAATAATTATATGACATCCTGAAATTATATGACTAAAAACATTGCCAATAAAATGTTCCGTCCTGATGGTGTGTCGCCTTGACGTGGTAGGACGACTTGCGTGTTTCAACGACCCCCAGAACTATGTGGTGGGGGCTTCAGCCCTTAGTAGGTCCAACCAAGCTCAATAGGTGCGTTGGGTAGAGACAGACGAAAGACACACTCTGCTCCTCCAGGTTGGGGGTTGTGCAGTAGGCTAACAACCTACTCATTAAAAAAAAATCTAGCTTGTTACAGAAACCTCAACGATATCTTCAAAGAACGACATAGCCGAGGAAGAGTCCTCTACCGTGGAGCGTATGACGCGGCGTACTGGTGGACATCCCTCGGGAAGGCAGCCGGCACGACATGAGCCGAGCTGAAGAGGATCGCCCGGAACCGCGTCCTTTGGGGAGGTATTGTTGCGACCCTATGATCCCCAAAGAATTAAGAAGCATAATGATGAATGAATAAAATGTTAGACATTTTTGCATCGGTCAGTCTCTAGATTATGTTTCACATCCAGCATCCAACACTTTGCGCAGGCAAAGTTTGATACTAATCTGTCTTTTGGATTTTCTTCCTTGCTCTTTCACTTCTACCTGGTGGGAAAATAGCAACATCAAGCATGAAGCTCAAATTATAGAAAAAACAAAACATTCAACTGAAAAGTGGTTTGTCATAAAAATCCAAGCAGTATAGAGGGTGTCCATAAAGTTCGTGTGCACTTTAAAAAATTTATACCTTTATTTGTATTTGCGATAGAAATAATCTGTAAAAAGTTTTATAAAGTTTAATGTACCTAGTTTTAAGTATAGCTAAAATAACTAATGTGATTTCAGGCATTACTGTAAATCAACTGGCAAATGTTTTCCGTGAACTGCAAAATAGTATTATTCTTTGTATTGCTAATGATGGAGGACGTGGGAAAACTAAAATAAAATTTCAATAAAACCGTAAAAAAATATCGATTTACTTCTTTCTAATCCTTTTTACAAATTATTTCTATCGCAAATACAAATAAAGTTATAAATTTTTTAAAGTGCACACGAACTTTATGGACACCATGTATGTGTTTGTGTGTGTATGTGTAACATTTATTCAAAATGATAACATAGGCATGTTATAACATCACTACAAAAAATATTTTTATTTTCTTTTTTGAATTTTTTCTTCTATTTCCTGTGTGGATATTTGCGGGCTCATGTATTTGATTATATATACGTGTTTGTGTATTAGGATTTCAATTTTTTTGTCCTATCGCAAATACAAATAAAGTTATAAATTTTTTAAAGTGCACATGAACTTTATGGACACCCTGTATTTTGATAACCAATTAATAACTCAATGAATTTATATGAATTTCTTTACAGAAACCTTTTCATCGCTCTCTTATTTGGATTATTATTAAAATTAATGAAAGTAAACATTTTAACTCTTTTTGTGTTTGTCTTCATTCAAATAATGGTTATGCTTTTATCTGATCCTTTGTAAAGGAACTGCCTGTGTAATGATGTATGATTTTTCAATACGAATCCTGCGCAAAAATATTCATGACATTATTAGTTCCGTCATTTTTTTTTCATTTTCATATTAAAAGCGTTAATCGCAACTCCAATTATTTTTCTTGCTAATGACACTGTTCTGATAGTAGCCATTATTCCCCTTGATGTTGTCTGTTCCTTTCATCTGATAACACTGATCATCAATTGTTTCCTTTTCACTTCATATCTTCTGTAACGTTCCTCTGAGTTGCTTTCAACATTCTCATCTTTGTCACAGTTCTTCTTATTATTCCTTTTTCTTTTCCACGACTACCGGCGCTAAAAATAATTTTCCACCGGATGCACCAAGAGTTAAAATGCCGCTAGCTCCCCAAGTTTTCCCACAAAATTATTCTCGACTTTCAAAATCTTGTAATCATTATCATTAGTTTAATATCAAAGTGGGGTATTTATTTCCGAGGTTTCTGGTACAGAATGAAACGGAGAGGAATCTTAGAGAAGAAAAATGTTGTGCATTAATCTAGCAAATGGGGAGAGTGTGTGAATGTCAAGAAAGTCTAAATCTGAATCTTGCCTTGAAAACAATTTACTAGTCTGGCTATATCTCTGAGATGATGTATTATGAAAATTCGTAAACTTATGGAATCAGCACATATGTAAGGCCACAAAAATCTCCTGAGCCGACCAAGCATAGAAATGAATACAATAATAAGGACTGCCAGAGAAAAGCGATAACAACAACAAAAATTGCAATATGAGCTCTGGTAAAAACATGAAATGATAACAGCAAAAATTGCAATATGAGCCCTGGTAAAAAATGATGCTGAAGACATTAGCTTTATAATACACAGAAATTTATACATAGCTGTCCTCAAGGACACATGGATAGAGGCGTTAGTTAAATCCAGTGACAGGACCCAAAGAGTGTGAGTTCAATATCCGGTTAAGGCAGTGGAGAACTTTCAGCGGGAAATTAACAGGAGATAAAATAACTGATAACTGACATCCATTAAACATGGCACGTGGAACTAGAACAGTCTACCCCAGTGAGCTAAATAAAGGGTTCAGAAGGCCGGAGTGTACAACGGCCGAAACGTTGTAATAAATATGGCGACAAAGATGACGAATAATGTACATAATACCTCATCTCAAAAATATAGACAAATACTGAAGGTATTATGATTATTTACATTATTTGGACTCTTATCCTCATCTTCATTGCCATATTCACAATGTTTCGGCCGTTATAAGCTATAAGCTCCGTCCTTCTTCAAGTGATTGGAATTTCGAACCAAACCCTTTATTTCGTCCACCGAGTAGATTGTTCTAGTTCCACCTGCCATGTCTCAGGGACACATGGCCCAGTGGATAAAAGCGTTGGTTAGAGCCAGTGACTAGACCCAGAGTTGCGAGTTCAATACCAGCCTACAGCAGTAGTTGATCAAAAAACTTGGAGAGTTGAGTTAAAGAGAAATACCTTAGATATTCGAAAGAGTCATGGTACAATCTACCCCGGTAGGCTAAATAAAGGGTTCGATTGGAAATTCCAATCACCTGAAGAAGGACAGAGCTTATAGCGGTTGAAACGTTGAGAATATGGCAATGAAGAAGATAACAGTCCGAATAATGTAAATAATTTAAACTAACTACTGGTGTTGGTAAGAAATTACATCGGCAAGTAATTACTTTTTTCTTTATCACTCAAGCATGGTGATAAAACCGCTAAAACACAAGGTTAGATGTATCTGAGAAAAAAATACATTAAGAAGAGAGGCCACTAAAAGAACATGAAGATAACGATTGACACTACATTTAAAGTTTTAAAGATCAAAGTTGTTGAGGAAGCAAGAAGTCAGAAGAGAGTTCCAGAAACGAGAAGTGCGAGAGAAGAAACTGTTAGCATAGAACTTGCGGTTTTATCTAGCCATTTCAACTATAAAATACTGAGACTTTGCTGTGAATCTTGTACTCTGCTTAAATTTATAAAGTTGAGGTACCAAAGACGAAAGCTCATCACAACAATTACTATCGGAAGGTTTATAGAAAAAGCACGGGGAACCTACGTTGCGGCAATGGGAAAGAGATGCTAGGTCAGGTCCGATAATATGGCAGATTTTTCTTTGAATTTTATCAAGTATCTTTAAATATATAGCAGAATCACGGAATGCCACCGTCTCGAATGACATTCAGTCAGTTCTGTGCCATGCATGATACATGTTTAGGTGATCATCTATCTTCCGATATATAACTGACGAGGTAGATTTTTTCCCGCAGTAGGTTGTCATTTCTTTTTGCGGTAGACCAGTTGCCATCCAAGGCTATAGAACACGTTCTGTCCTGCTATTTACCATAGCTTGGGAGAGAATAAGATAGGTCATACCTTTCCCAAGCACGTAAGTGAACGTAATGGATTCGACTGGAATTCGAACTCAGATTCCTCAATCCGAGCCGCTATCCATTACTACACCGTACCATATGACATTAGTAGTGTTTTTTGTTTTGTTTTGTTTTTGTTTTGTTTTTTGTTGTTGTTGTTTTTTATTTATTTTTTTTTTTTTTTTTGGAGCCTTTGATATTCAATGTCAGTTGGTTTTTGACATTTGGCTATGACGAGGATTTGGGGTCGCTTTCCTTATTCGTTTAATCCAAAGAAGCTGTTATTTATTATAAATTCCTTTTTTTTCCAATTATTTTTAAACATATTTTTTCATCTTCTAATTTTGTTCTTGTACTAATATTTTCTGTTTTCTTTTCTTCAAAAGAAAGAACTTTTAATCTCTTTTCATATTTTAAAGATTGTTATCTGTTTTTTTGGAATGTGGCAGCGAATTTTACAATTGTCATAGGCACCAGCAATGCGATATGCACTAGGAATCAAAGATTTATTCCGAAATATTGTGCTTTAAGAAGGCAAGTTAACTCTCAGGAAATTCTACATTTGAATTTTTACGCCAAGATCAACACCAATGTGCTAGCATTCGAGTTGGAAATGAATCGAAACCAACACGAAAAAATAGCAGTTTTGTTGGCTGATGCAATTAGCAGAATCTTTTAAGTTAGAGTCAAATATTAATGCCGTTGCTTTATGAAGGTTATTGCATGTCTGGTAACTGACATCTTGCCTTCGAAGATTAACACCAAATTAATTATTTACTAACGCTTCGACATCAAAATTGAAAAACAAGCGAGTGTAGAAAATTCTTTGTTCCGACGAGAAGAGGAATGTTGTTATTTGTCAACATCGATGCATGTGATGGTCAAAAAAGATGGTGACAATCATTAATACACAATACTTTATATATCAATGCTAGGGATACTCAAAAATATGCAGAATGAATCACTTAGCTAAATCTGAAAAACTGACTAAATATTCAGTATTTATTTATTTATTCCAGCAGGCATCCAACTCCAGCCAGTCCTCGCCAACAGCAACGATCGATTTTCAAGAAAAAAATTCTCACCGACTGTCATTCTCACGACAAAACTCTTCAACGCTTTTATCGCCCTCAAAATGAACATGCAAAGATATTTTCGTCGATATATTTTCTATAACAAAAATAAACTTGCCAGTATATTTTTACTCAAGTTTTCGTCATTCAATATCTGTTTCCGGGCCAATATACCACCCGTAACAAAGTCACACAGACAGAATATGTGCATACTTCGCATATCACAGCAATACAGGTCAGTTTGCTTGCCTCGAGAATACACCCGGACTATCCGCTTCACGACCACGGTCTTGTTCACCCAGTGTCTTGTGTTCATGTCTCGATCAAATACCGGCGTCTTGTCTTCATGTCTCGACCAAATACCGAGGTATGTGTTCATGTCTCGACCAAATACCGGCGTCTTGTCTTCATGTCTCGATCAAATACCGGCGTCTTGTCTTCATGTCTCGACCAAATAGCGGCGTCTTGTCTTTATGTCTCGATCAAATACCGGCCCCTTGTGTTCATGTCTCGATCAAATACCGGCATATTGTCGTCATGTCTCGACCAAATACTAAATATTTACATGCCCTAACCAAACGAAAACATATGGTTTAAATCGGATTCCCGTTTTCAACTTCTCAACTACAGTGAGTACTCTTACTGGACCGTGAAGATGCAAACACACGCTACACTGCGCACACATATCTTTTCATAGTCAACGATTAGCCAAGATACGGAAATAATAAATAAACCATCAAACACCAAATTAAAAATTTATAATAATTGACTGTTCCTAGATAACACCTCCAAGGTTTATGAAGGTAATATATATATATATATATATATATATATATATATATATATATATATATATATATTCACAAATTTCGGTGACTTTACGGCTATTCCATCCTCTGTCCTTTGGGGCTTCTCTCCTCAGTGATTTTGAGAGTGATTGGAGAGTTATATTAAACATGTATTCACCAACTACCTTTATTATGACATCTTGAGTTAACCGAGGCGGAATAAAATGATCTGTTCAGTCAACGTCGAATGCTGACTGCCTGACGAATACGTGACTACCATGCAGAAAATGGAGTTTATTTCTAATAATTCATTTTGTCTATTTCCTATGCATATTTAGTTATTATGCATCAGTGTTAATTATCTGAAAAGTATGTTTATTCATTAGTCGGAAATACAATAAATTAAAAAAATTTGTATGTGTATGAATATTTATTTCTCCACCACACTATATATATATAGATGAGAGAGAGAGAGAGAGAAGGACATGTACTTTTGACGATATAGTGTCCAATGCTGATCTTGAAAAATAAATGCAACATTTATGGAATTGTGACTTTTCTGTTGCAGTCACATCTTCGATGGGCTCGTGATATTGCAAGAATGAGCGACGATAGAATACCTAAGGTTCTCATGTATAGCCAGCTTCACAGTGGACAAATGACTGTTGGATTATCGTGGAACAAGTATAAAGACAAGCTAATGAGTTACCTCACCGCTGTCAATGTGCTCCGAGCATGTTGCCCTGGATAGAAATAACTGGAGATATTTGTATCGTTGACTTCGACGTATGAGGGTCCGACAACCTCATTCAGTTTTTATGTTTGTGTCGTATGCGACACTTCCGTCCCGCTAATGGCCTGCCTACAAGCCCACATATTGTGCAACAGCAAAGATCTCGGGGCATAGCAACAGAAATATTTGATGACACTTTTCGCGTTGTCTTTCGTCTTTTAGCCAGTCAATACGACTCATTTCGTAATTTTATGCATCATATACATATATATATATATATATATATATATGTGTGTGTGTGTGTATGTAATATTGGTTTAACAATATTAGAAACAATAAAAATTGTCTTTTCATACAATTTACTATTGAGGATTTTTATCCCTCTATTAAAGAGAATATTTTAAATGAGGCAATAGATCAAGGTTCGGCAACCTACGGCCCGCGGGCCGGATCCGGCCCGCGAAGGCATTTTGACCGGCCCGCGAGCCTGATTACCAATGACTCTATTTTTAACATGAGAGACGAGGCTTTCGAATTAGACTATCTGCCAGTTATCTTTCATGAGACTTATTTTACCAAGTTGAGTTGCCTACGTTTAATGTCAAATAATGGATACATATTTGTTATGACCCTTGGCTACATTAAAAGATAACAGAAGCGAAAGGAACGATAAAGTGAAAGAGGCCAGGGAGGGACTGACATGCGAGGTAGCAGAAATCTAAAGACAGTTAAACATACGCGCATTATACATACATGCCTCATGAATGTGTGGATGATACCGCATGTGTACGTACGTAAGTGTATATGTTTGCATCTATTTGTACTCGTATGTATGGATGTATGTGCTTCGTTTTTGTTTGATGTGTGTGTGTGTGTGTGTGTGGTTCGTTTGTGGAACAATTTTCAATAACAGTTTCAAACCTACACGTCATAATTTCATCCATTTCACTTCGGTTGATTTTTTTCACTTTGAAGTATTTTGACATTCCTTGTTGAAAAGTAATTTTTGTTAGGTGTTTTTTAATTTTAGATTTTCTTTTGTTTTTCTGATTTCGCAATGTTTATTTTCATTATGGTTTTAAATATTTAGGTTGACAGGGGAGTCTGCATATGTAATTTTCCTTAATTTTTCATTACTGGCCTTCGTCCTGCACGCGACCCGTCATTATAACATGATCCGGGCCTGCGGGGGTCGAATGAGTTGCCGAACAATGCGTAAGTACTTCTAAAGATGACACATAGAACATTCTAATGGTGACAAATGATAAGACATTGCGGAAAATCTATATTTTTACATTAAGGCTCATTCTGTGCAAGGCCCGAGAGCCACTCGAGGTAAAGGCGTTACATTAATAGATAGTTTATACGGATAGATGAAAATAACGGTTAACTCTACACTTGAATAGTTCAAGATTGTAGTGATCAGGAAAACATCCTCTTGGGAGTCGGTTCCAGAACAGCGGTTCGCAGAAGAAGCTATTCAAATTTCTAATCAATAAAACCTGGAGGGAATGTGGATGATTTTCTAAAATGTTTGTGGCATGGCGGGTCCTAGCTATGAAGGTTAAACCTGGCGGGACCAATGAATGTAGTTCGTTCGAGCACTTTCCATGGAAATGGCGATAAAGCTGGGAGAAGCATGCCACATCCGGACTGTCACGGAGAGGTTGGAGGATGAAAAATAATTTGTAACGCCGATCCTCCGGCACGGTGTCAGTTGTAACGCGATCTCTGGTCAAGGCGTCCATGTGACACCGTATCCTAACCCCACTGGGCCGACGTCATCCACGAGACCGGCCATTGGTCCTGTATGGTCCACTATTACAGATTAGACCTAAGTCTCCGGTTTCAAATGTCGATTCGATTCCACTCACCATCCACCTTGTGATTTTTGATCCTGCCGAGTAGTTATCGGGTCGTAGAATTCCGGAAGTTCTCCGTTGGTCTACCTGCAAGCTTGTTGGGTAAGAATCGGGTTAACAGCAAATAAATATGGCCAAGTCAATCCGATTTTAGAGGGACAAAAGTTTTATCTATCTATCTAGCTCTCTCTCTCTCTCTCTATATATATATATATATATATATATATATATATATAACATCAAGAATACATATAATAATACAATTCTAGTGGCAAAAAGTTGAATGTCTCTTGTGCATGAACGATGATCAACAAAACAAAAAATTACTTCGTGTAATTTCGTTAAAGGAGAGAGGTGGCTTCGTTTTAACCCTTTTTGATTACTGTAGCTTATTCGACGTTCCGTTCTCAGTGGTATTGATAATAGCAACAGTAGTAGCCTTAGCTGTGGAGTAAGTAATTCGCTTCTTCGTACTTATATCAACAGCAAATTTTAGCGGGCGCTTTGTTCCAATCTCACTTCCTCTCCTCTTCGAGTCTCCAACTCAACTCTGCTCACTGTCTCTAACCCAACTCTCCTTTTCAATCTCCGACATCTCTCCACCCAACTCGACTTCACTCGAAGACAGACGAGCTAAAACTCTCTTTTCCTCCGGTTGGCTCGCCTCTTTATATAGAGAACTGATGACGTATCTGTTTTCTAGTGCGAGCGTACTGACATGCTTCCAAAGTATAATTTCACTCCTCCGAGTAAACAGTTTACTTTTCAGCGATTTGCTTCCTAGGTCCATGATGGAATGAATATGCATACACCTCGGTTCCCCTTCACAGTAATATGATTGGCTGGTGCCAGCCATAAATACAGACTGATATGGAGGTACATGAACTACGCCTATTGACTACGCCTATAGTCTTCGCCTATTGACGACACCTATTGCTTACCACTACGACGAGGACCAGTCCATTATGGTTACCTGCTAGATTGTCCTACTCGGTTAAAGTAGTCAACAACCACTTTGCTACTTCGAACAAATATATCCATTTCCGGGACATATCAGTCCACGACAAGACTCTATTGTTATCAGCTCACTAGCAATCACTCTGCCGCTCTTTGTAAACTACAGAGAGTCCGGTTTCAAAAATAGATTCTAAATCAAAAGATCCTTTATTTTAACTTGATTCTTAAAGTGTCAAAATACATTTCTTGTTCTAAAAGTTCCAATTATCATTGTACCAGTAATTTTCTATTAGTAATCTGATATCCTTTGCACACTTACAAAAAGATTGTATTTCGTGTTCTAAATAAAATCGGTAACATTTACATTTCAAAGTCTTTAAAGCATTTTTAACATGTTCGTTCTTTTGAAAACGCCTTTTTTCCTGTTTTCCAGCATTTATTATCATTATTATTATTTCAGGGTGATATTCCAACAACCCCTCACAGTTGCCACAATTTGTCAGCCACAAGGGCTTGGAGACGCTTTTTGGAATCTATCGAGACTGGAGAGTAGGTAGCCCTCGCCCAAATATGACAACAGTACCCTATTTTAAGCATGATCTGGCCCCTGTAAATGTAGAGGATAGCAGGAGGAGTCAGGTACTTACTAGAGCGGTACAGGGAACTGATCATTTTTCCTGCATCTTTTACGATGTGTCGTATGGACGTATTAATCTATAATAAAAATGTGTGGATAAAATCCAAAGACGAATATGCAATGTGATAGGTCCTGATCTGGCATCTTGTTTACAATCGCTTTCCCACAGACGTGCTGTGCCTTCCCTCTGTCTCTTCTACAAGTATTTTCACGGCAACTGTTCCGACAAGCTACTTTCGTTGGTTTCCAGACTGCATGAATTCAAGCGCGATACCAGACTGGCATCTTGGTCCCAGCCTTTCACTGTCAAAACGGTTAAATGTAACCGTCTCTTCTACTCAAACAGCTTCTTCTCCCACCCTTCCCATCTGTGGAACTCCCTTCCACTTACTTGCTTCTCAGATGACTATAATCTTCAAATATTCAAGTGTAATGTCAATCGACATCTGACATCCTGAGCTTGTTCCACATCCTTCTCTGTATCCTTTCTTCAAACACGCCTCTTTACACTTGTTCTCAATCCTCTGTAACCCCTTGCGTGCTAGTGGCACTCCCGCCTTGC